GTTCTGGGGGGGCTGTCAGGGGGGCAGGGGTGTGGAGAGGGGTCGAGGCAGGCAGGTAGCAGAGGAGGTTGGATGGGTCAGGAGTTCTGGGGGTCCTGTCAGGGGGCGGGGAGCAGTTGAATAGGGCATGGGAGTCCCCGGGGGTCTGTCTGGGGGCGGGGGTGTGAATATGGGGTGGGGGTGTGGATAAGGGTCGGTGCAGTCAGGGGACAGGTAGGGTTGTAGGGGGTTCTTAGGAGGGGGCAGTCGGGACAAGAGGCAGGGAGGCTTAGATAGGGGGTGGGATCCTAGGGGGCAGTTAGTGGCAGGGGTCCCAGGAGGGGGACAAGGAGCGGGAGGGGGGGTTGGGAGTTCTGAGGGAGGCAATCAGGGGGTGGGAAGTGGGAGGGAGTGGATGGGGGCGGGGCAGGGCTAGAGTGGGGCTCCTCCCCCCATCCTCTTTTTTGCTTGTGGAAATATGGTAACCCTAGCCCAGACCCCAGAGAGACAGTCACAGGGGACATGTTTCCCAGTGACACTGAGTCCAGCTGGGCTTCACTCTGGTAAGAGACTGATCCAGGGAGCAGCTTGTAAGAAGCGTCTCTTTTATTCACAGCCTGCACCCAGTATTTCAGCTCCACCCCAGCTCTGGTGATGCCGCTCGGTCCTGACCCACAGGCTGCTCCCCACCTGCTATTCCAGCCCTGGGAGATCCAAACCCCCACTCTGCGCCTCGGTCCTGAAACCCAGACTGCTCCCGCCTCCAGCCAGTGCCTCTATCCCCGCACCCAGCCCCTGTGGCGGGGGAAGGGTATGGGGGGGGGCGCGGGGCGTTTCCATGGGCGGCCGGACGTGGGCGCTGACCGGGAACCGGCTCCCGGGTTCGGGGTGCGACGCGGCCAGACCGAGCCTCACTCACGCTCCCGCCCACCCACGAGGGCCCCGGCCAGGGCTGCGTTCGGGCCCCGCCTCCCTGCACCCCACGGGCTGCGGAGGGGCCGAGGGAAAATGACGTGTCAGCGGGGCGGAAATGGAAGCTGCGCCGTTGGAGAGAGGCGGGGCCGGGCTCTTGCCGGTGTCATATTCAGCCTCAGCCCCGCGCCCAATGCGGGCACCGCTCCTCCCCCAGCGCAGGATTCCGTAGAGCGGTCGCCACCCCGTGCTCTACCTGTGGCTGCCAGGAGTTCCTGGGACCGGACTCTGACACCTCCCCACAATTCCCCTCAGCCCCATCTCCAGGACCCCTCCCCGAAACCCCGCCCCCTGCCTTGCCCTGGCCGGGCCTGTAACTGGGGATGCGGAGGCCGGGGGGAGCAGCCGGTGCAGGGTGAAGAACTGGCGGCTCCCCGGCTTCCATCGCTACCAGCAGCCGGACTGAGATGTGCGCAGGGGACTGCAGCTGGGAGCAGCCTGGGGCCAACCCCCTCCCCCCCTGCAGCCCGGGGGGCACCGCTCCCTGGGGGGATGGGCAGGTTTCTTACCTTCCCTCCAAGCGGTGCCCTCCCTGGGAGCAGGGGCTGGGGCCCGGGAAGGGGGGTCCTGGCCAGGCTGGGGTCTGTGCACCGGGAGAGGCTCCTGGGAGCAGCGGGACTGTCCCTGCTGGAGATTCCCCTCTCCGGGGTCCCAGCAGCAGCCGCCGGGGCTCGGAGATCTTGCAAGGAGCGTAGGCTCCCCACAGCGCCCCAGAGTCACTGCAGGGAGAGCGATTCACTTCCTGCTGCCTGGACTGAGTGACCCCAGTGATCGCTCCCAGAGCAGCATCCCAGCTGCTGCTGGGTCCTAGCGATCAAGGGATTGCACTGCAGCCCCCCTGCCCCAGACCCTGCCTCCTGGGGCCCCACGTCCCCTGGGCAGGGACAGGTTCTCTTAGCATTAAGGGGGTGTCATAGAATC